TTATAGTAGCTAGCTCGCAGATTGAAATATATTTAAGCTTGTTAGGATTAACAGAGGGAAGAGAAACCGTCGAATCAGAGGGGAGAACCAACAAACTCTATCCATATGCAACTGACATGTTACTCACAAATAATCTTTATTTTAATTGTCCAGATTAACCTGATCATCTTGGTGATGGTCATCAAGGTTGTGGTTACCTCAGCTGATATGCAGAAGTCCCAACGTGCTAGGATAATGTAGGTATTGTGACTATTTATAACTACTGGATGCATTCTTAAGATATAATTGACGCCACCACATTGGTTGACAAAAAAATAGGTTGTGTTTATTTCATTTGGATATTTCTTTTGTCCTTTTAGTATCATGGGAAGGGGCGTGTTCCACCTATTCTTGGTGCTGCAGTGAGGTGATGGTGTTGAGGGGGAGGGGGGAGGGAAAGAGGGGAGTGGGCACATAACATTGAAAATGATATCAAGTCTATTCTGCTACAGAGCCTATGTTTGATACAGGTTGTGTTTGTGGCGTGTGTATGAGGTGATAGAGGAGGAGACGGGCATATAGTTTATAAAGATGATGTATAATATAATATCTGATTGCCTTATGTTGCAAGTAGTTCCTACCTTTATTAACACACCATGGAAGGATTTAGGGGTAAGCCCAAGGTGCCGCGACCCCCTTTTATTCTGGTTAGCGATAGAGTTACTTCTAACGCAGAAATTTTTTCCGCCCCTCCCACTTTGCTGCAGTTCCTGGATTTTCCCCTGCACATATTTTCCCAGTGGTGTAAAGGAGAAAGGGGGTTTGCACACTTTATTGCTATCAAATTGGTTTAAATAGACATATTCACTCTCCCATTTCATTCTACATGTCATTCTCTTGAAGTTAATCTAGATTAATCCTTTAAATTTCATTAATATCAATGTATCAAGCATTACTAAAGCAACTTAAAGTAATACTCAAGGGAATGAACCGTATTCTGATACTAGTCGGATGCTCTAACTAATAAACTTATGGATACTTTATGCCGGCGAGCAAGGGTGATCCGTGAGCACCAAACTAGTGTATGGAGAGGGTTGTGGATTGGATTATTGGGCTCAGAATTTTTCTGAGTTCCCTATGTTATTTCATCATTTCATTATTTCAATTTTATTTGCTCTGTTCAGGTCAGGTGTGAAAGGTGTGTCAGTGTTGTTACCGTTGCTAGGGGTAACATGGGTGTTCGGTCTGCTGATCGTACAAGACAACTCGATTGTCTTTAAGTACATTTTCACGGTGACAAACTCACTCCAGGTACGTACTCATCAAACCTTATGGTTAGTTTTATAGTTTCTGTTATTATGGCATTTTGTACGATTATATATGTTTATTGACTATTAAACTTGCCACTAGCCAAATTTAGTACAAAACCAATGTCTCCTGTCTTCTCTTTCGCAAACTAGTGCGTCGCGATGCAAGGCCTTGACGTTAGTTAAACCTTAGTGTAAATAAACTTACAGAATGCTTCGACATAAATGACTTTATCATTGATGATGTTTCTAGTCAGTCATTGGTTTTTCAGTTGTGAATAACTTTAATGAATTACTTTTTCTTGTGTCTTTATTGTGACATGACAGGGGTTTGCCGGAACAACCAAAACTCAAATACCATATAAATTCTGGGTTTTTTCTACTTTGTTATAGGGTTTTTTCATCTTTTCATTTCACTGTGTTGGTAACAGCGAGGTCAGTATAAGTTGTGTATCACTGCTGAATAGTTTTTTTTTTWATCCCTCAATTTTCCATTTCAGTTACTTTTATTCTTTTTTCTTATTCATTTCTGAAATTTTCATTTTTGTTCCCTCTTCTTCTCCCTCTTATAATATATCTACTTTCTTTCATCTTTTCACTTCTTCCTACTTTCTTCATTCAACTGTCCATCTTTTCATTCCATCTTCTTTTCTTCATTATTTCTCTCTCTAAATTTTTTGTTTTCTCATTCTTAATTTTCCTACTTTTTTAAAAATCACTTCATTCCTTAATTCCTACGTTTGTTCGTTGCTTTCATTCCAAACTTTAATTTTTCACTTTCCAATTCATAATAATGAACTGTACCATCCCGTACCAGTACACCCAGAACTTGGTAATGCAAACTAAAACAGCTTAAAGTTCGTTATGACTTCATGGTTTCAATTACAATATATTTGTTCTACTTATCAGGTTTTACAGGTTTCATGGGTGGCGTTCGCGACTAACGCGTCGTCTTTCACCGCTGTGAGTCCATAGGGTAGGGTCGCTGTTTCGAGCCCTGCAGTCGCCAAATRTGAATTGAGTTTGTTTAATTGGGGTTCTCTCTTATGCTACGAGGGTTTTCTCCGGGTTCTCCAGTTTCCTCCCTCCGTATGTAAAAATCAACATGTGAGTTGAGCGTCGTGTGCATAGAATATTAAATGTAGTGGTAGTGCGTGTTAGCGAAAGGTTTCCCCAATTAGTGCGAAAGCGCTAGAACGACTAGACACTAAAATAAAGAGAGTTATTTAATTTAATTCATTTTTATTACATCTTGTATGTCAAATCTATAGGTGAGAGCAGCGCTAAAGAGATTTCGCGCGAGAACGTTTGATTTCAATAGTGCGGTTTTCTTGCCCTCAGTAAGTACACAAGTGTATTATATCATGTTGTCAGTACTAGTGTGAATCTTGCTCAGAGTAAGTTTCTTTGAAGACGTGAAAGTTATAACTGACCCTTTCCCAATGATGGTTTTTAAAACAGCTTGTCGCCTGCGCGCATAATAGAGTAAGGTCAGTTGAAGGGATTCATAAAACAAACATGTTTTATTGAATGTATCTGTCAAAGATTGAGGGGTCTAACATGATAAACAAGATCCGCTTTGTCTTTATTTTGAACCTAAATGTTATCATTGATTTTAAGAATGGTGACGCAGTGAGTTCTATAACAAGGAAAAGCCAAAAATACAGAACATCTAAAGGTATGTATTTGTTAGATTATAAAGGTGTTGCACGTGTGGGTTATTCTGTGATACACCACACATATCAGTACAAAATATAATGTAATTCATACAAATATTGCGTACGTGGGTTATTCTGTGATATACGCCACAAATATCGGTAACAGATACTCTTTGGGTGATTATATAAATCATACAAGTATTGCGCACATGGGTTATTCTGTGATACACCACACATATCAGTACCAGATATAATGTAATTCATTCAAATATTGCGTACGTGGGTTATTCTGTGATATACGCCACAAATATCAGTACCAGATACCCTTAGGATGATTATATAAATCATACAAGTATTTCGCACGTGGGTCATTCTGTGATATACCACACACATCAGTACCGGATACCAGGTGGTTATGATCTAGCTATGATTTTAAACCTTTTTAGAGAAAGTGGAGAAAACCAGAGTCCATCCATTAAAGGTAAGATTTCTTTGTTCTGATTTTGTGTTACGATTGTCTAAGGTTTGCGCTCGGTTGCACATGAGAAAACACATGAATATGGATACGATTCAAACAAAAAATATTATTCTGGGAATGGGAATGACACGTGGTCTGAAATGGGACAGCATTACGCTCGAGCGCTCCAGAGCCGAGGAGGTCTATAAGGCAGTCTTCCTTTACGTTGTTAGGTTAGGCGCATGATTGTGATTCTTAAACTCGGAAAGAGCTTTTAAACAGAAGCGCACGTTCGAGAAAACTTTAAATTTATTTTGCATTGCTGTCTGCTTGCTTATCCAAAAGCAAAACAGAACATTATGGGCTAGCTTAAAAAGTTATGGACAGAAGAGGAGGCGGGGTTATTGGAGAAGGGGGGAAATTGTAGAAAATGACGAAAGAGAGGCAGAGTGGCAAACAGAAAGATGGGCACAGACAGGAAGAATAAGTAGCAGTAGTGCACTCTATTTACTGGAGTCTCGGCTTCGATTCCCATCACATGTGAGTAGCTAGAGTAAGTCAGTTCTCTCCATTTAATTCGAAGTTTTTCTTCGGATTCTCTGGCTTACCTATCTCCGAAAAACCTAACAGCTACATTCCAGTTCGATTTGTGCGTTAGCCGGCCGAGCCCTGACTTAATTTGGTCAGCCGAAGTTTCAGGGTATCGATAAAATTTGAAGGTTTAAACTTGTAGAGAGAGAGAGAAAAACAATTGATGGCAAAAAGCGGAGCGCACTAAATATTTATTTCTTTGATTTTTTAATAGTTTACTTTATTGACGTTTCTGTAACTTTGTGTGTCATATCACAGAATACTTCAAACCAAAAATGAGCAAAAAAGCCTTTCATTTGTCCAAATGAAGATGAAAAGGCAAGTTCGAAATGAAACAAAAAGGCAAGAGTGGCGGCGTCACACAGATGAACCGGAGACGTCTTCGAAAGTAGAAAGTTAAGATAAGTAATAGATGATGATCTGCATGGATGGTAATAACAATAATCACCAAGGTACTGAACTAAACAACAACATCTACGGCTATTTCAAAAAAGGTTGACTGACCGACTGAGAGACCGACTGACCGATCGACCAAACGGTCAGACCATTACGAACGTTAGACTCACAATCATGATCAAACATGCCAAAGTGAACGTGCGCCTTTGCTAAATATTATCTATATAAAGATTAAATAGCTTAGGTTTGCTAAGCATTTTTACAGATACATTAAACAGTACTTAAAATCGTTTAAAGGATAAAGTGAAGTCCCGATTTTATTTGCCTACTATAAGCTAAATTTGTGATTGTAATCAGGTAAATAGGATTGTATTATGTAATGTTTAATAAACGAGCAGGAGTGTTTTATCGGGTATAAAACACGAGGCGCAGCCGAGTGGTTTTAGACCCGATAAACCACGATCTGCGAGATTATTGAACGGCTTAGAAAACTTATGATGTTTGTTCTCATTGTGTACCGATTTTTTTACGAAATGAACCAAGTTTGATAGAGAAAATCCAAGTTAAAGTTCATGCAAATGAAGACGAATCTTTATCCGATATAAAACCTCCTTCATGGTCATGATTTCTATTGTGTTTTCCTCATGAATTATTAATGAGTTTTCTAAGAATATAAAGACACCTATCTGGAAATAACTACAAATGGTGAAATCTTATGTTAAACTTATGACTCCTAAAATAATGAAAGAAATAACAGTAATAATATATATATAAACTACCCGATACCCTGAAATTGGCTAATATTTAATTTTTGCATCATTTGCTACTTTATCATACAGTTGTAAAACCAATAAAAATTCTTAAAATGAAATAAATAAGTCTGATTTTTATTAGTTATGGCCTTGAATTAACCAATACTGAACTATAAATTGAAAAACTTTGCTAGTATTTAAAAACAAAAACTGAATCGGCTTATCCGCAGCAAATATAATGGGCGTAATGTTTTTAGACCACGTTTCATCCTCTTGAGAATAAGATTCTGTTTGAGTCGTAGCCATATTAGAAAGGCTGCTTTAGGGAATGACGCGTGGTCTGAAATAGGAAAACATTATGCTCATGCTAAAAAAGCTTGTCTTAAGACGCGCATCGTGTACTATATCAAACTGTTCGAAGTTGATGCTGATCAATGGTGGTTTTATTAGAGACCTTATAGCACGACGTTCTTGCTAGGTACCACAAACTTCAAACTACAGTTCGACGTCAGGTGTTTTCCCTTTTTACGTCAAACGTTCAACATTTAGTAAGGCGTCGTGACGAACTTGTTATACTGGAAGAGCCGCCATATTGAAATCCATTGATGCTGAGTTTTCCTCTGTGTTTGCGGGCTTGTTTAAAGGCCTGGTCCATAGCAGTTAGCGGTTAGTGGAAACCTGATGCTAAAGGTATCTATTCTCAAAAGTATTTATACAGACGACGAATAGAATGTAATTTCACAATTTCTCGCTTAAATTAACCTAGATCAGCGCGGGGTGAGTTATAATGCAATAGTAATCACGTGCTGTTTAATTCACTGAGAGCAAATGAACCTTGATTCCCATGGGTCAAATATGTGGTGAAATATACTGGTGAGCAAACAAAATTTCTACGACCTGCTTCGAGAGATCGTAATTAAACTACATTTCGTAACATATTGGTTACACATCGTTTCATTCAGTTCTTTACAAATAGCTAAAAAGAATCACCAATTTAAAATAAAATAAGAAAATTTGCTTACCAGTACAGACACGTGACCGTTAATTGCAAAGGCCCTATTCTAGTTTTTCATTCCCTATGAAGGGCCGTGTTTGATTGATCGAGATGTGAGCCACACAACGACGAACACCCATGATCAAATCAAGGTAATTACCATTGATAGTCCAGATTATTTTGGAGACTAGAGAGTGTCCTCGAGGTTATCAGCTTGGGACTCATCAAATCTTCCCTTCATTCTGGAATGCAAAACAGAATATCCTATATCATACACAATAAATCTCTATCGATAGTTACACCTAGTAACTTGACATCATCTGCAAGACTGACCACCTCACTACCAATGGAAAAACAAGGTGTGTTTATGCCCTTGCTCTTGCCTAGCCACATGGTAGTACATTTATCAGGATTCAT